CCCACCAGCTATCTACGTGCATTTTGGAAAATCCTGTGTATATATAATATATTTTGAATATTGTAGTTGTCCGGCACTATATATTCATATAATAAAAACTTTCCAAACCTGATGTTCGAATCGTATGTACATCGCTATATATATATACACAGAGGTTTTGGAGGTTCCTCCATGTTCTAAGTAAGAATCCCACCAGCTATCTACGTGCATTTTGGAAAATCCTGTGTATATATAATATATTTTGAATATTGTAGTTGTCCGGCACTATATATTCATATATAATAAAAACTTTCCAAACCTGATGTTCGAATCGTATGTACATCGCTATATATATATATACACAGAGGTTTTGGGGGTTCCTCCATGTTCTAAGTAAGAATCCCACCAGCTATCTACGTGCATTTTGGGAAAATCCTGTTTATATATAATATATTTTGAATATTGTAGTTGTCCGGCACTATATATTCATATAATAAAAACTTTCCAAACCTGATGTTCGAATCGTATGTACATCGCTATATATATATACACAGAGGTTTTTGGGGTTCCTCCATGTTCTAAGTAAGAATCCCACCAGCTATCTACGTGCATTTTGGAAAATCCTGTGTATATATAATATATTTTGAATATTGTAGTTGTCCGGCACTATATATTCATATATTAAAAACTTTCCAAACCTGATGTTCGAATCGTATGTACATCGCTATATATATATATACACAGAGGTTTTGGGGGTTCCTCCATGTTCTAAGTAAGAATCCCACCAGCTATCTACGTGCATTTTGGGAAAATCCTGTTTATATATAATATATTTTGAATATTGTAGTTGTCCGGCACTATATATTCATATAATAAAAACTTTCCAAACCTGATGTTCGAATCGTATGTACATCGCTATATATATATATACACAGAGGTTTTGGGGGTTCCTCCATGTTCTCCAAGTAAGAATCCCACCAGCTATCTACGTGCATTTTGGAAAATCCTGTGTATATATAATATATTTTGAATATTGTAGTTGTCCGGCACGATATATTCATATAATAAAAACTTTCCAAACCTGATGTTCGAATCGTATGTACATGGCTATATATATATACACAGAGGTTTTGGGGGTTCCTCCATGTTCTAAGTAAGAATCCCACCAGCTATCTACGTGCATTTTGGAAAATCCTGTGTATATATACTATTATATACTATATTTTGAATATTGTACTTGTCCGGCACTATATATTCATATAATAAAAACTTTCCAAACCTGATGTTCGAATCGTATGTACATCGCTATATATATATACACAGAGGTTTTGGGGGTTCCTCCATGTTCTAAGGAAGAATCCCACCAGCTATCTACGTGCATTTTGGAAAATCCTGTGTATATATAATATATTTTGAATATTGTAGTTGTCCGGCACTATATATTCATATAATAAAACTTTCCAAACCTGATGTTCGAATCGTATGTACATCGATATATAGAGGTTTTGGGGGTTCCTCCGTGTTCTAAGTAAGAATCCCACCAGCTATCTACGCGCATTTTGGAAAATCCTGTGTATATATAATATATTTTGAATATTGTAGTTGTACGGCACTATATATTCATATAATAAAAACTTTCCAAAACTGATGTTCGAATCGTATGTACATCGCTATATAGAGGTTTTGGGGGTTCCTCCGTGTTCTAAGTAAGAATCCCACCAGCTATCTACGTGCATTTTGGAAAATCCTGTGTATATATAATATATTTTGAATATTTAGGGGGGGTCGCGGCACTATTTTCAAATATAAAAACTTTCGCCCAAACGCTGAATGTTCGAAATCGTATGTACATCGCTATAATATATTACACAGAGGTCTTGGGGGTTCCTCCCATTTTCTAAGCTAGAATCCACCAGCTTCTACGTGCATTTTGGAAAATCCTGTGTATATCTAATATATTTTGATATTGTAGTTGTCCGGCACTATATATTCTCTAATAAAAACTTCCAAACCTGATGTTCGAACGTATGTACATCTCTATATATATATATCACGAGGTTTTGGGGTTTCCTCCGTGTTCTAAGTAAGAATTCCACCAGCTATCTACGTGCATTTTGGAAAATCCTGTGTATATATAATATATTTTGAATATTGTAGTTGTCCGGCACTATATATTCATATAATAAAAACTTTCCAAACCTGATGTTCGAATCGTATGTACATCTCTATATATATATATGTATATATACACAGAGGTTTTGGGGGTTCCTCCATGTTCTAAGTAAGAATCCCACCAGCTATCTACGTGCATTTTGGAAAATCCTGTGTATATATAATATATTTTGAATATTGTAGTTGTCCGGCACTACATATTCATATAATAAAAACTTTCCAAACCTGATGTTCGAATCGTATGTACATCGCTATATATATATACACAGAGGGTTTGGGGGTTCCTCCATGTTCTAAGTAAGAATCCCACCAGCTATCTACGTGCATTTTGGAAAATACTGTGTATATAATATCTATTGAATATTGTATTGTCCGGCCTATCTATTCAGATATAAAAACTTTTCCAAACCTGCGGTTCGAATCGTATTACATCGCTATTATATATCACGAGGTTTTTGGGGGCTCCTCCATGTTTCTAATAAGAATCCCACACTATCTACGTGCATTTGGAAAATCCGTGGTAATATAATATATTTTGATATTGTGTTTGTGCACCGGCACTATATATTCATATAATAAAAACTTTCCAAACCTGATGTTCGAATCGTATGTACATCGCTATATATATATATATACACAGAGGTTTTGGGGGTTCCTCCATGTTCTCCAAGTAAGAATCCCCACCAGCTATCTACGTGCATTTTGGAAAATCCTGTGTATATATAATATATTTTGAATATTGTAGTTGTCCGGCACTATATATTCATATAATAAACACTTTCCAAACCGGATGTTCGAATCGTATGTACATCGCTATATATATATATATACACAGAGGTTTTGGGGGTTCCTCCATGTTCTAAGTAAGAATCCCACCAGCTATCTACGTGCATTTTGGAAAATCCTGTGTATATATAATATATTTTGAATATTGTAGTTGTCCGGCACTATATATTCATATAATAAAAACTTTCCAAACCTGATGTTCGAATCGTATGTACATCGCTATATATATATATACACAGAGGTTTTGGGGGTTCCTCCATGTTCTAAGTAAGAATCCCACCAGCTATCTACGTGCATTTTGGAAAATCCTGTGTATATATAATATATTTTGAATATTGTAGTTGTCCGGCACTATATATTCATATAATAGAAACTTTCCAAACCTGATGTTCGAATCGTATGTACATCGCTATATATATATACACAGAGGTTTTGGGGGTTCCTCCATGTTCTAAGTAAGAATCCCACCAGCTATCTACGTGCATTTTGGAAAATCCAAGAAAATCCTGTGTATTAATAATATATTTTGAATATTGTAGTTGTCCGGCACTATATATTCATATAATAAAAACTTTCCAAACCTGATGTTCGAATCGTATGTACATCGCTATATATATATATACACAGAGGTTTTGGGGTTCCTCCATGTTCTAAGTAAGAATCCCACCAGCTATCTACGTGCATGTTGGAAAATCCTGTGTATATATAATATATTTTGAATATTGTAGTTGTCCGGCACTATATATTCATATAATAAAAACTTTCCAAACCTGATGTTCGAATCGTATGTACATCGCTATATATATATACACAGAGGTTTTGGGGGTTCCTCCATGTTCTAAGTAAGAATCCCACCAGCTATCTACGTGCATTTTGGAAAATCCTGTGTATATATAATATATTTTGAATATTGTAGTTGTCCGGCACTATATATTCATATAATAAAAACTTTCCAAACCTGTATAATATGAATCCCATCCCAATTAATCAAACACCCACCAGAGTCCCCATGGAGGATGACCTCCTTTCCAGCGTTGTGCTTCTTGGTCACCAAGACTCCGCCCCAATTGACGCAACATCACACCTCCTGTATATATAATATAAATATGCAGTGTTAAGTTGTATGTATGTATACATATACATATATTTACATGTATATATGATGGCATGTTCTAAGTAGAGGATCCTCATATGTTCTAAGTCACTTAGAACATACGTCCCCTATTCGCCGAAAATGTTCTAAGTAGAGGGCGCGTACCCACCGAAAAAATTCCAAAACGATGTTCTAAGTAGTTGTCCGGCGCTATATACATATACATATACATATATATATATATATATGTTGGTTTGCAGGATTGCTCCAAGCTATTGTAGGTAAATGATTGCCACTTTCGGGGAGAGAAGTGGTGATTTTGCCAAAAGATTCTGCGATTTGTCCCTCCTTGTATCCGCGGTGTTGGGAGCAGACTAGCAGCACTTTTATATATATATATATATGTATATGTATATACTGTATATAATTATATATATATATTATATACCATGGTATGTTTAAAACCTTCAACTGATTTGTGTTTCAAGTATTTCTTCCGTTCATAGAAACAGGATGATGATCTCGAATGACTGATTGTTCTGTGGGGCCCCTGAGATGCTAAGGTTGGGAAAGTTACCAGCAACATGGGGAAATTAAAGCGCGATGTAGTGGGATTTATCTAGGTTGATACACATAAAACATCATAAAACTAGGTTAAAAATCTGGTTTACAATGGATCAAAACATATCAAAACCATTGTGTGTTTCACCGGAAAAAAACGGTGTCAAAACCATTTCACATCTCCGAGTCTTAGTAGTCTCCCCGATGTTTGGCGGCAATCCACATCAAATCTCCATGTATCGTGTTAACAAAATTCCCTAATTTTGCCAAGTAGAATCATACATGATTTACATGAAATCTATCAACATCTCCGGTTTTATTTGTAAAGAAAAAACCTAAAAATAAAGCAATCTTTGGTTCGATCCCTCAATTTTCGAAAGGTATCCCAGGTCCAGGCACTGGCCATGACAGGCCATGCTAACCATCCACTTACGTGGGGAAGATGTGCGGGAAAAACCGTTGTACCAGCAAAATCAGCCTCCCTGCCGCTCGGCCTTGACGCTGGCTGGCTGATTGGTGCTTTTTAAACCATGGAACTTATCATTTGAGGATTGTTTACCCTCTGGTAAACATACAAAAAAAACTATGGAAAATCACAATTTTTAATGGGTAAATCATCTATTAATGACAATGTTCCATTCACTTGGGAATGTCATCATCCCAACTGACGAAGTCATATTTTTCAGAGGGGTAGGGCTCAACCACCAACCAGCTGGTGCTTGTGGAGTCAGTTGATGTTTGTTTTCCCACAGAACGTGAAACTTGGGCCCCCATTTGCGAGCGCCAAATTGGTCGGCCGCACTCGAAAGATCATCAAGCAGTCCACGGGGATACACCGTCAATCACCAGGAACGACTAAAAAACTGGGGCAAATAGGCTGAGATGTTATAAGTTATAAAGTTATAAACTATGCGGATCTTAATCAAGGGGCGCATTTTTGTGACTGATTGGCTTTAAGAAACTAATATAATATAATATAAAGTACGTGATTTGAGCCAGAAGAAACCGGACTGAAGACCGCAAGCAACTGGACTGAGAGAAGCAAGAACTGGACCGAATCAACAAAGATGCGGATCGAACCTATCTGCATAGGCATCAGGTCAATCAACATCTAGTGATTAAAAGTGATTAAAAGTGATTAAAACCAAAGAGACCGTGATTCAGCTAAGAACAACGTGGATAGCATTGATATCACCAACAACAGAGATTTTGCCCATTTGAATCCAGTTGGGGAGCGTTTGGACCATTCCTTCACAGATGAGAGACGCGTGAGTATCAAAACTTCATGCCTGTTGGCAACCTCAATCTTTCAGATCAGAATGTCGGACGGTGACCCTCCCAAAGAAATAGATGGTTAAGATTTGCCCGTATGATTTATAAGATAATCCTGACAGTTGGTGGCAAATAAGTGCTTGACAAACACAGTTATCTTATTGGAGTCGTCCGTCCTGATGGTTGGCTGATCCTCATATGTCCAAGGTTTTGAAGTCCCCAGTTTTTCAGTTTGAAGTCGGCTAATCTCTAGGTTTGGTATTTGAATTTTGATTAAATCATATTAAATCCATATAAGACCAATAAAAACCAGTGATTCTTCGATGGGTCATTTGACCCCTAAGGGTCTTAGGTATTCTGGTGTTTTTAAGCCACCAAAATACCTGCCATAATAACCCCTTGCTTCGACTAAATCACCGTCCACAGGGTGGTGCCCCGGTTCAGAATCGCGATTGGTTGATGCAAATGTTGGTCCAATTTCACTATGGTTTATGATACCAAAAAAACGAACTAGTATTCATGGGGTTTATAAACCAACTTATAACTGTGGGGCCCCACATTCCAAGAGGTGTTTGGAAGTATGGGGCTGATCTATCTTCTCCAGCAGGCAGGATGTATGATCGGATCTTATCAGATGCATGGCAGCAACAGGTTCGGTTGTTCCTCAGGTTCATTTAGGATGTGAAACCCAAGGGTTTGATAGCTCAGATTTAGTTTACTGAGGATATTCCTGTTGCAACAGGTATAAGTTGGTTATTTTTCGCCACTGACCAAAATGGAGATCCATAATTTGTATACTTGTTTTACGCCATTTACATCCATTTACCAGCTTAATCAATTATAGTATAGGGTAAAGTTGAGCCAACGAAAATGAAGGGATGTTGGACCAAAAACCTTGGGATGTAGCAATTATGTGAAGTTCACCAAGAACATGTCGTGCTTGCCATTTTGTTTTGTTAGACAACCAATCATAGATGATTTGCCCAAAAGATTTGGGGAACTAAAGCACCAATTCATAAGGCTGTAGCCTTATGAAAATGCTAAACCAAGTTATGATGACCTAAATGATGACCAAGTGCCGTTGAGAAGGGAAACCACCTATTTACCAGATGCTGCCAGCCTGTGGGAAATCACCTTTTAATGGGTAAATCAACTATTTCTATGGTAATTTACCAAAGAATACCAGATGTTGCCAGCTTGCCAGGGCTTGATATCCCGATTCTGCAATTTTCATAGAGAAACTGATGATTGCTGCCTGATTGTCTGAGTTAGAGCAGCTAATTTTGAGAGAAAACATGATAAAAGCACGTAGTGGGTGGGGTCGTTTCAAAATTTTGAGTGTTGATTTGGGAGTTGTGAAACGCAAGCCGAAAATAGATGTCGAAAAATGGGAAACATGGGAAATATGCATCATCTATAAAATTCCTGGAAACTGTTTCAGCTTTTTTGAGTTACATGAGGTTACTATAGATGCTTTTCTAACAATGAACCATACCGTAGCTGATTTTGCCATTTGAGTTTGTTTCTGTTGAGCAAACCTCAAACACATCACAAGAGCAGGGGCTATGAGTGGGTTTGCCAGCTAGTAGTGGGATATTGTCTTGGAGAAAACCATGTTTGTAATTTGTAAGTTTTTTTTGGTAAGTCGCATAGATATAAGCTACTTCAGTCGCTTGCTCAGGAAGTGCTACTGGAAGTCCTGGGCAGTGTAGGTGATGTTCATAAGGAAATATGATATCTATTGACATGTCATATCTCAAAAAGCTAGCAACTTATGATGCATATTGACCATACATTAAGCATACAAAGCAGAGCCTCCCAGTCTTAAATTGGCTAGCTAGCTCATGTTCACCCATCCAAGTCTGTATATATATATATATATACATTGTATATATTACATACCATATATATATGCATATATATATATATACATAGAATTACATATATATATATATACACCCACCATCCATTTGTTCGCCTAGTTATAACTTTTGGCAATTGCATCTCGTTTGGGCACTCGGATCCGGACTTGGGGGTGCTAGATAGAACCTTAGTTCTAGCCATATGAATGCCATCCCAAATGCAGCCCCAATAACACTCGCAAAAAAAGTTGGTTAATACATGTCAATACCTATTAATCATTATTAATTATCCCCCACTTAAGGTTGTGAAAATACCAATGTTATTTAACCAAAAACCATATCATAACCATAGTTTCTTGAAACTTCTCTTACCGTCCAACAAAAACATCCATCGCCCCAGTGCCCCACAACTTCCCATCCCTTTGGCCATCTTTGGCCCGTAAGGATCACAGCTACAAGTCCGTGAGCGTGGTGAAAGTCGGTTGGACGGCGCGCCGCAGATATCGGGGCCTGGTGATATCGAGCATGTAGCCAGCTAATCCGAGCTATAGACATTTCTCTCTCTCTCTCTCTTTCTATATAATTATATATATATATACATATAATATGTGTATTTATATATAATTATATAAACATGTTGATATATATATATATATGTATATATTCACAGGGAGAATTAATTCACTGTGACCTTCAACTTATCCATCAACATGTGCATTTGCCAAACAAGTTTAGCACTTTGGCTGTTTTTTTCTGGCACAACTAAGGTCAGGATTAGCCACACAGGATCTGCGACAAGTCAATCACGTTTGTAGGGAAAAATCATATACCAACTGGATATATTGTAGACATTGTGTTGATTCAGGCCACCTTTGAATGACAGTCAGTGGTGCCCCAGGTTGATTTTGGAGTGAGTTCATGTTCACCCAGGGATCCACCATGTTCACCCAGGGATCCACCATGTTCACCCATCATCCACCAACGCTGGTGATGTTTTCTGGAGTTGAGCCAGTTGAGTATCAACTGTATCCCCCCAGTTGAACAGCCAACAGGGGGGTTACCCTCTGGTAAATTGACATGGACCCTGAAAATAAGCAATTTTTAGTGGAAACTAGTCTTCCAACCCCGACAACTACCAGGGTCTATGTTAATTTACTGGAGGGTATTTGTGATTGACACTAGTTATTGTAGGACCTGTAGGAGGTGAAAGTATGTTGGTTTATCGAGGACTTTTTTTCACTCACCGGCATCAAAAACGCGCTGCCGTCCACAACAAAATTCATCGTAGGATGTAAATCAGTGGGATCAGTGGTGAAAAAACTCAGGCCCTGGTCATCAAACATGGCAATGGAAAATGGAGCTGGTTGGTGGTTTGGAACATGAATTTTATTTTCCATCATAAAAAAGGGATGTCATCCTTCCCGTTGACGAACTCCATCATTTTTCAGAGGGGTAGGGCGAAAAACCACCAAGCAGTGGAGGTTTTTGTGGGAAAACCCTGGGAAAACCATCTATTCCATGGAGATTCTCCATTGTCGTCTTTGATGACACCGGAACTGTAGCAATCATCCATTGCATGTATACCTAAATGAATGCCCAGCTACTAAATGGAATGCACATCTAAGCATCAACCATTCTAGATGTCCCAGTTTAATTCATGTCTTTTTGGTAACATGGTTTGCCAGAAAACTATCCACTTAGTTCGATTTTTCGTTCCCTCCTTTCCCATCGTTTTTCTGGGGATTCCCCAGAAAGCTATGTTGGATTACCATTTCGGCCGCAGCATGGCGCGCTTAGCTGTGAATGTGGGGAAACTGTCCCCGTTAGGAAACTGTGGTTATAACCCTCCGCTAATTTAACCGTTTGCGTTCGGAAAGGGCCCGTTTTTTGTTCGATTTTAAATGGCTACCTTTTCAACTGGCGGAGGGAAAGTCATAATCCAAAAGCTTGAGTTGGGGTTGACATGATGGTAACTATAACTGAGATACCACAACTCAAGTATAGTGTGATAAATGGGATACTACAATTTCTCACTGTTGATATGATGACTGTGATGATGGTTATCATCCAGCAGTTGAGATGTTATAGATGATGGTTTCCCTATATGCTTCCAGGCTTTCACAACTTGTTCGGATCTTTTAGTGTTTTTTTGTTGGGGATGCTTTAGTTTATATCCCAAACGTTGAGTTAGTATCATATCCAGGATGTCATAGATGATTTTTTTCTTCTCTGTACTTTCCAGGTAGTTGCACGATGTTGCACGCTGTAGGCTATCTGGTTGGTGGTTTGGAACATGTTTTATTTTCCATAATATATGAGATAATCCTTCCCATTGACGAACTCATATTTTTCAAGATTGTTTTTCAACCACTAACCAGCTATAAGCCAGTTCTGAAACCTCAATACTCAATAGACCCATGACTTTCTTTTTCGATGCTAGGCCTGCGATGGTTTCATCAGAGGTCTTGGCCACCTGCCTGCAGTGACTAGTGACGACATGTGACGACGTGCTTCGGTGGTGACAACGTGCAGGGTTCGTCCAATTGGATGCAACTCAAGCATTGCTATGGAATCATGTGTGTTTAACTGTGGAACATGATGATTGAACTGGTGAACAGTGGTGAATTTCACATAAGTTAGCCATTGTTTATATACGTTATACGCTCTAGTAATTTAACAGTATGCCATGGAGCATCAGCGTGTTTTTCCTAGGTAAATTCATACTAAACAAGCTAATGTCCATCCAATATTGATACATCGTACTAAAACTTCAGGAAATACGAGTGTTCATCAAGGTATATCTGTGTTATTTGTGGTAGCTTCATTTGATATGTTTGGTTTAGAACTAGGCTACGGGTGCAATGTGGGCTCTCTAATTGTCTTTGGTTGTTTATGAACTTCACCTAGAATTACTGTTGTATCTACCATAGAACTACTCGTAGAACTCATAGAACTCAGTGAACTCTTCACCAACAGGATGGCACCCCGGGCAGTGAAGAGGAAACATTGGACACGGATCAGTCGGAGCTGTTTCTGATCAACAGCGTAATGAGTATCGGGTTGACATTCTATCATTATTTGGTTGGTGGTTTAGAACATTGTTTATTTGTCCATAATATATAGGATAATCCTTCCCATTGACTAATATTTTGCAGAGGGGTAGGTATACCACCAACCAGATTATGTTTATTTGTAAAATTAATTTATCTTTAAACTGTATTCTCCATCGCTAAAAGAAATGAAACAATAGAACTTCCCAACATGACTGAACCTCTGCAGGCAGTGGCCCTCTTCCTATTCCAAGCCGTCATTTGAATTTAACTGCTATATCACCCTAGTTCTTGCCATCACTGTATCTGTATTGTTTTTGAAGAAAATGGTGATTTTACGTAAAATGGGGGAAATAGTGCGGACGTAATTGGCATATCACCAACATTATATAACCATTAATATCCATGTGGGCATGTATCAAAACGCGGTATTCATCCAACTATAATCATCTTAATGGGAACATGATGGTAAAGCTCTGGACTTGGGGGTGCTTTACTTTAAGACAAACCCAGATATCCGCATTAATTATGGTTGGTGTGATACCCCCATGTGATTTTCAGTGCTAAAATCCCTCGTTTACAGGCAAAAGAATGAACGTTCGCGTCCACGCGAGTTCCTCGGTCCAGTTAGTGTGTTTGCTGAACAGATGCACAAGGATCTGGAGGTATGGCAGGAGAAATACAAGGTGGTTTATAAGCAGGTCAACTAGGGTTGTAGAAAAATCATTGGAACTTAATCAGCCATTGAATATGGGATTTAGCAATGATTAATCAGCGAATGGGATGGGAGATATTTTTTGGTTTCGGCGCCAAACTAAGAAAAGTCGATGGCCATCGAGAAAGGAGAGAGTAAACTAACATAGCAATGGAAAATCACCATCTTAATTAATAGTTAAATTAACTTTAAAAATTATGAACATGTGCCATGTTCAATAGCTATGTTAAATTACCAGAGGCTGTTTTTGAAGAAGCTTTACATTCTGATTGGTGCTGTCATCTGTCCAGTATGGTTTTCTTTCATGATTTTCCCAATGTTTAAACAACCTGAAAGACTTTCTGAGCAAAGTGTGGGAAATTTACGCTGCGACGCACGGATATAATGCGTATAGACGCTAGTGGTTGCAGAGAGATATGCAGATAGATAGACAGAAAAGAAAAGAAATATACACGGAAATATATACAATATCGCACAATATATCACCATTAATATCACCATATTAATATTTTATATAAACTGACAACCCCATGATTTTTTGATGCCAGGAATCATTTTTTCAATCCGGACATCCCATGGCTTTTATGAACTGTACCTGGCAAGGCAAGGCAAACGCGACCAGGAACTGTACCCGGAACGGTGCCCGAAATCATGCGCCTATATGATGTCTATCCGAAATGGTAAACATACAAAAAACAATGGAAAGATCCACCATTTTTAATGGGAAAACTCACTATAAATCACCATTTTCAATAGCTATTTTGACATAACCAGAGGGTAGATGTTTAGAACTTTACCATACATGGATGGTTTTTGGGTAGCGAGAGGGCTCCCCCCCACAATGATGGCGTTTAGTTTGTGTAAATAATCGTGTGCGTGTGTGTTTTCTGTTCAATCATGTATATATATATATGTTCATATTCATCTGGTTGGTGGTTTGGAATATGAATTTTATGACTTTCCATATGTTTGGAATAATCATCCCAACTGACGAACTCATATTTTTCAGAGGGGTAGGTATACCACCAACCAGTCATGCCCGGGGCCTCATGATGCCAATGAACTGCGCACCTGTCGTGTCCTGAGCAGATCAGGCCACAAACGTTCCCCAACAGGCCCAACAGGTGGTCAAGTGGTCAGCATATAAGCTGTCAGCGCAACCACGCAACCGAGTCGTTGGCGACGTTCTCCAAGAGGGTTGTGAAGTCCACTCCGGACACACAAATCATGGTTTATATAATGTCAAGCCTGGATTAATCAACCCTTAGGCCTAGGCTGTTTAATTCATTTAAGTATCAGATGAAATTACTATTGGAGGAGTACCCCCCTAATTAATAAACCATGGTTTAGTCTCATCCGGGGTTGACATTATGGATAAACATCCCCTAAATGACCCTAGATCTGCTTGGGATCCATCATGCATTTTTGTGTTTCCAGGTCCTTGAAGTACTGGCCCAATGATTTCCAAAATGCGTCGCCCCTGTTCAAAGATCACGCTTTTGTTTTTACTTTATGCTGAACATATATATAAAAAAACGGATACGGATTCATAGGGGTTTTGCATGGTGTAAAAGTCAGTGAAAACCAAGTGTTCATTCATTTTTTCGGAAACTTCAGGAATTTCTGCCAGTCCGGACCATGTTGGACCACCAGCCCAGCTCGATTCGTAAGGTTCTATTGTGGAAGACTTTGCCATGTTGATGCGTGCCAGGCATGGCGCCGCGCCAACGGTCAAGTGTCCATCCTGGTCCATCCATATTTGCGATGGGGCACTGAAAGGATAGCTAAGACTAACTAATAGAAGTAACTTATAGACTAACTTATGGTAGTTGTAGACTAACTTATAGTACTCTAACTTATAATAGTTGTAGACTAACTTATGGTAGTTATACCTATAGTTGGACGGGTGCAACTAAACCAACAAACATAACTTGGGGGACACCATGGTGTATGGGCGTGTGGGAATATAATGGAATATAGGGTATAATTCCATATCATATCTATTTACAGAGGGAAAAGGCAGGAATGATGATTGACCAGTAGATTTAGGACCAATGTCAAACAAGGGACCTTGAGTTAAGTTGAACCTAGTATTATGGAGGATGTCAAAACAGAGGCATCAAAGACCAGCAAGCAGCAGCCTCCAATGAAGCTTGGGTGGAATCCATCAAAGACTTGCCGCGCAAGGAGAAATGGCTCAGGCATGCTTGGACACGCGCACTCCCATTGTGATCATTGTGGCAGCACCCTTTTCGCGCGCTGGAGGAAGCGCTGGAAAGATTGACATCATGCTGGAGAAGGATTTGCATCGTGCTGATGGTGCCCCATTTTCCGGACAAACTCAGTTGTTTGGCCAGGGTGAAACTGGATACACCCTTGGCAGGGTAGCTCAAAATTTGATCGGCTTGCCAGTTTAGCATAAGTATCGGTATACAGTGCAGACATCTGCTGACCTCAAAAAACAAACGTGTTTTGCTGGGCCGTATATGTATTGATTTAGTATAGAAAAAAGGGATCGATACCAAGCATTTTGTGGAACATATTCTTGCTTTAAAACAAATCCACAAAGCATAGTCGTAATTCAGTCGACAGGAAGAAAAACTGGCAGATTACTAGTCCGGAAAAGCGCTTTTTTCTGGTAGGGAAGATAGAACCTGGATTTTCTGGATCTTGCAGTGTTTCTTGAAACTGGGTTCTTTACACTCTGCATGAAGAATGGGTGTTGTACAGATCGTCAGCTTTCCTGGTGAACAGCACTTACACAATGTTACACATAGTCATGCCGGGTCAAGCCATGGTGCAACTGGAGTCTATCAGGGAGGTTTTTTCGGCTTTCATCGACGGGAAAAAGGGTGGCTATGTTGTATTGATCATTTTGGGTTTGAACTAAGGTTTGGGAAATCCCATACTGGAAAAAACCATCTTCTGAGAAGATATTGGAACCCTCCTGCTGCTTCCCCCCAAGGCCAACCTTCAAGAGGTCTGTTTCATCGTGTAACTCTTCCAGCCCTCCCCGAGACGGTGTCCCTTTGAGGAATTAGCCATCATCAAGCCGTAATTCCCTGGGTAATCCCTATTTTTAGTTGGTTAAACCATGTTGAACCTATATCTGGTTGGTGGTTTGGAACATTTTTTTAATTTTTCCAAATATTGGGCAGAATCATCCCAACTGACAAACTCATATTTCTCAGAGGGGTAGGTTGAAACCACCAACCAGATATGTATATATATATATATTTAAACCCATTAAACCTCATAAAACCCCATCATTTCACCCCATCAAACCCATTATACCCATAGGATCCATGTATGCTGTATATGGTCACATTTAAATTTACCATCAATATACCCCCAATGTTAGCATATATACCAGCACCATGGATCCTATGGGATATAATCCTCCTATGGTTGGAGGGAACCGGACATGGACACGGCCAGGAATTTGGCTGTGTCCTTCTCCAGTTTCGCCATGAGTGCGGCTATCCTCAGCAAAGAAATCCAGGCGCTGATAGCACCGTTGGGAAAATGGGAAGCCGAAGAAATCTTGGATGGTTCAAAAAAAGTTAACATGTTACAAGGTCCCCATAGCTCAGTTGGTTCATAACTAGCTTGATTAGGGTTTATATGGCTTTATACTTATAGTATCTTATAGTTATAGGGGGTTGAAAAAAACAGCTTCTGGTACAAAACTAAGACAAAAAACGGATTTTGTGGTCCTTTTGGGGTGCAAACATTGACCCATACGCCACCATTCACCACTCTGGCTGGTGGTTCCACCTTTGGTTTCCATTCCTCTGCTTGGAATGATCCCCCAATTGATTAATACTTTTTCCACGGTGACTGGAAGCACCAACCAGATTACGATATGGGGTTGTAAGATGTTATACACATTGTGGGGACACTCACCAGCCCCAAATAGGCACATGAAGTGGGTATGATGGTGGTTTGGAGGTTTGTTGCCAAGGGCCAAGGGCTATAGAAATCTGGCTGATATTTTCCAAGGTCCAGACGTTATGTTCTATCTCTACCTAGGCCGCCTATCCTAGAATTGAATGAAGGGAACTACTAAAGGACCCCCTTACATTCATTGGTACAAACTATATGGTTACCTGGTTTCCTATCCAACTTGTCCTTGAAACCAAGCTGATGAAAGCGACCCATAGTGAAAATCATTGGATCAGGTCAAAAAAAAACAATAGCCTCCAGGTTCATCAAGCATGGCGGGCCACTGGGAAATCCCAATGAAAATTAGGCATCTATGCTGCCTATGCTAAAACCATCGAAGTAAATAAAAAGAGAATTTTCCAGCCGTGTTTGACAGCGTTTGATGAGACCCTTGGGTATATCCAGTGACTCAGTGCACCGAAGGCTGTTATGTTGATGTAGCCATATCATAATCCGTAGAAACCACATGTAGTCAACTAAAATCTAATATACTAACATGAATCAACTATAAAATCAACATGTTGGCTAGTTACTCCCTTCATCTTTCAAGGCCAAATAGCCATTGAACTGTGGCCCCACCTACCTGTAGTTCAACTGCAAGCTCAGTTCTGAGATCGGTTCCATCCCCATATATATATATATAAATATTAACATAGTTATTTTTCTCAATACATATAATTATAGTATGTACTTGGTGGCTCATCCCACTTAGTAAGTGGGTTAGTTCACCCCAGTTTTTTGAGTGGATTAACTCTACTTATCCCATTTATAACATATCTTTTGTTGTATCCGCATCATGTCCCCATGTTCGTTGTGGGGAAAACGAGGCCCCCACCGTGGGGCCCGTGGGGCCTGTGGGGCCCGTGGGGCCCGTTACGGCAGGTCATGTACCGTCGTCGCGATGCGGAATGGGACTCAGCGCCTCGTTGTGACCGTGGGGACCGTGGGGGACCGTGGGGGACCGTGGAGGACCGGGGGAAGGCGGGGACCGTGGGAATTCAGTGATTTTTAATGGTGATTTAATGGTGATTTTTAATGGTGATTTTTAATGGTGATTTAATGGGATCTAGTGGAATTTAAGAATCAAGAATGGGGATAATGGGGATGTATCTAGCCCCCATAGTTATGTTGTTGGTTTTTAAAGCCCATGAATACTATAGTTAATACTGTATGTATTTATATCCACCATAGATCCATAGATCCATAGACTGGTTATAATATTACAGTTATGGCCATTTATTAGTCTGGGAAAATTACAACGAACTCACTGTGACCGAAGCCTGGAATCATGGTTAGGATTTGGGAAATCATCCCCAAATGGCCCAACAACTCAGGTTAGTGAATTATTATACATTACCCAGATGTATGATGGGTCAGTTGGCTTTTAATAGCATTTTAGCTAGTTTAACTTGGATGATGAGGTCCTACTTCAATGTGCTGAGAGCACCAGGCTATACTTAGCACATGATCATACGAGGTGGGACCCCTGGTTGCGATAGCTAAGTTGGTGTATCACTAGGTTAACGCTGGTTTAGCGTAGATATAAGTAACTATAGTTAATGGATTCAATGGATTGTAAACCAGCTTATAAGGACCTGGATTGAAGAGCCTATCTTCGAACCATTCAGAAGGGTCTACATTCAGCCACGGCTTCAAGGACAGCAGCAATTCTTGAATCAGTACCCTGCTGATGAGGGATTGGACAGATATCGGCAGGCCTACGACACCATTCAGGGCAAAAAATCAGGTTTGATTGGTTTGACGGTGGTGCTCAATTTTCAAACGGAAGCTATGGCGCATGAGCCAAAGTCACACGGCCTTCGGCCAGTGAGGTACGCTCCAATCCCACCTTTTCTCTTGACACGTGCAGCTGTTCCTGGATTGAGAAATCTCCAGAAAACGGCGCAATGGGCCTGTTTTCTGGCCGCAGCCAGGCTACGCTTGAGCACGAGGCTCGACTCTTTGTGAAACAGATCATCCGAGCTATTGTTAGGTGGGAAAAATCGAGCTTACTGATTTTTCCGACAAGTCAGGTGGAAAGGGCTGAGCGTCGAGCTACATGGCATATCGCATGAGATGTGTTTCATGTATCTTACACCTGACAACCCCGTTTTCTTTTTGGGTTCTGTTTGTTGATTTTCAGGAGCCATTTCACCCTTTTAGCCAATTGTGCCAAGAGTCTGACTTCAACGGATAGCTCAATCGGCAGCGCCCGTGCAAAAAACAAAAGGTCCAAATACAACAGAGATATTGGTGGTTTCATTTTTTTTTATTTTCAAAAATATATGGGATGTCATCCTTCCCATTGACGAACTCATATTTTTCAGAGGGGTAGGTATACCACCAAGCAGAAGAGATATTGTAATGGGCTTGGAGATGTCATCCCCAGTAGCAATGTCAATCCGTATCCTCCGATCAATTGTTAAAAAAAATTGCGAAGCCATGGTGCATTTCGTTCGGTGATTTACCCAGTTAACATTGTGATTTTCCAGAGCAAACTGTTCAATTCCCAACGGATATGAATCATAGTAGATAATCATACTACTATCCATATCAAAAAGCCATATCATAGCCATATTTCCCATTTTGTAGATAATTGTACTTACGGCTACAGAATGATATTCGCAGCTTTCGAAAAGCGGACGATTTTTCAACTGCAGCGAAGAGTAATGTCTGGATGCAGTACTCAGGTCAAAGTTTAAGAACATAGAGATAGCAAACACAGTTCGCACCCAAATGTTCAAAATGCTCTATGATGCTGGAATATTTACCTACATGACTGTGTCATTTTGGGGTAAATGTAGGTAAATATTCCATACATGGAGCATCTGGGAAATGTTCAAAATGTTCATTTTTTTTGAGTTGAAAAAATAATCGCTAACCAATACTGCTGTGTCTTCTCTCAAAAATGGGCCTGAGGCAAACCCCCAAATCAACGATGTCTGGATTTCTGTATGCTCAATGAGGTAAATCCTAGAAGAAACCATACAGCATGTATCCATATGTATCCCATTCTACCATGTGAATTTATATGTTAACCATAGATTAGCCATGGATTTATATGGCATGGGACATGGGCCGGTCATCCTCTCATTCCCGGAGAGCTGATTTGAAAGATCCATTCGATTTTTTGGATGTCGAAACTCAAATTGTTTCAAACATAAAATGTTTCACATCGACTTCCATCCTCTTCTTTACCCGGCCTGGTAAACTACCAGTTTGCTACGGAAAAATAAAAACCATCTTCAATAGGTAAATCAACTTTAAATACTGATATAAATGGGCCACTTTCAATAGCTATGTATACTTCCATTACCAACGTGGGAACCCTCTTAGCTATATAAATCCACGAAATAAATTACCAGAGTCCAAAATCAAAATGAATAGCTGTTTAAGAAATTACCAGAGGGTAGCTATTAATCATTAAACCATAGATTTTCCATATGTGGTTGGTGGTTTGGAACATTTTTTATGTTTCCATATATTGGGAATTTCATCATCCCAACTGACGAACTCATATTTTTCAGGGCGGTAGGTATACCACCAACCATATATATATATATAATAATATGGGGTTTCTGCACTCATTTACCAGCTATTTTATGGTCTTCACCATTATTAACCATTATTAACCATAGACTATCCATAGAAAAAACGTTAACCATAGATTATCCATAGATTAACCATAGACTAACCATGGATTATTGATAGATTATCCATATATTGACTATTCATAGATTCACGGATAGCTCCGAGCTGATGTCTCGAGGTGATGCATTCCATCCTCAACTGCGCCTTGTGGCCTGGAGTGGTGTTGCTTGGAAATTCATCGGCCTGGAGGGGTAGATTCGCGCTGATAGGAGATCATCTACAATGTGATTTAAGAGGGATTTAATAGGGATTTAATGGGATTTAATAGGGCTTTAATGGGATTTGATGTGATTTAAATGTGATTTAATGGTGATTTTTAATGGTGATTTTTAATGGTGATTTAATGGGATCTAGTGGAATTTAAGAATCAAGAATGGGGATAATGGGGATGTATCTAGCCCCCATAGTTATGTTTTTTGGTTTATAAAGCCCATGAATACTATAGTTATATCATGTTATATCCACCATAAACCATAGACTGGTGATCATATTACAGTTATGGCCATTTATTAGTCTGGGCGAATTAAAACGACCTCACGTCGCGACCTCACTGGAATCATGGCTAATAAGGGGAATCATTCCAAAATAACCGCAAGTTTCAGGTCAGTGCATTTCTATAATTTGCCCAGATTAGTTATGACTGGTTATTTCTATGCGATTATACATTCTATAAACGGGCTTTTGTTAGTACTTATAACTGATAAAGGGCCAAACTGTAGATTGCCAATCTTCGAGTCTTCGATCGAAATCACGATTCTTGTGAAGAAATGGTTCTGAATAAACATGTTGCTATAAGTAAAGAACCAAGGATTCATGAAATTGAGTGAAATTCGTAAAATTGTTCACCTGAAACTCGGGCAGATGGAAAGTGGGAAAATCGAACATGGATGGACAATCATCTACATGTACTGTAAATAAACGGTGGATTGGTGATTTATCTGGCTGAGATTGTGTCTCATGATTTTGGAGATATGGATGTTGTTGGTAAATTGAACTAATTAACTGTTGTGTTTTTTTTCCAGATCAATCCCCGACTTTGGGTTTACCACACATTGCATTGATTTCAAATTGTAATTTGGCAAAACCAACAAGTGGGGAAGGAGTGGGTGACAGTGAACTATTGGGATATCAATTGGTAGAAGTCTGTGTAAGTGGTAGAACGTGATTCCCCGCAGTTGTAAGTTGGGTTATGAATCCATCAAACTAGTTCAATATATATATATATTCACAAACTTAAGAATGCATCCCAGATCGTAAGGTATTAGTTTGTAGGGGTTTGCCCTTCATGACTTTCAGAAATGCCTACCTGATCTCAGAAATGCCTACGTGATTTGAAAATGACATAGGCATTTCTGGAATTTAGGTAGGCTAATCTGAAATTTGGTAGACTAATTTGTTGTCCAGAACGTTGTGCAAACAAATGTGGTTTCATATTTTTTTACAAAATATTTTAAAAAAAGACAAAATATGTTCAAAAAGATAAAATCTAAAATATGGTAAAACGTTGATTGAACGTTTACCTGCTCACGATGCTAACACGTTGTGATTACGTTGGCCAGCTCAGTGTGCAGCTGAGTCATTTGTGTCAATTGTATGAACTGATGAGAGAAACTGGGCATGGATTTGACCTGTTTAGCATGGAAATTATGATTGCATGAACCACGTATGGTCCATCCATTTTCCATTTTTATCACCAAAATGGAATCACACCTTAACTTCGAGGCCTTAACTTCGAGCCTCAGGGTTGTCAATTTTGTCCTTGTTTGTTATTTGTTTGTCATGTGCTGTCATTGTTGTCATTTTTGTGATCTTTTGTTGTCTTAAAACAATGAGTATCGATGTTGCTCCCAGAACATAAATGTCCCTTGTCAAAACACATAGATCTTGTTTAATTTAATATAATATTACTTATTAGGTTTGCATTTTCAAGCTTGCCTAAAAGTCAGGTATGCAAAATGTAGCGGTTATTTCCAGTACGAGTGTCGTGTAAAAGTGTCCCAGAAGAGTGTCACAAAATCATAGCGGGAGCGCCGCTCATTTATGGACACAGCCTGCCACTAATCTATGGACATTACCTTCCAGTAATTTTTGGACATAACTTGCCACTACTTTATGGACACAACCTGCCAAGATTCTATCGACATAACCTGCCACTAATTGATTGGCATAGCAACTAATCTATGGGTATAACCTACCACTAATCTACAGACATAACGCCGACCCCGGATGGATCAGTCAACTCGGGCAGCAGTGTCTTGCGAGAGTGTCAACACCACAAGGTTGTCCCACAGGCTGCCACTAATTTCTGGACATACCCTGCCACTAATTGTACGGACATAACCTGCCATTAATTTATGGACGTAACTTGCCACTAATTTGTGGGCATAACCTGCCACTAATTTATGGGCATAACTTGCCACTAATTTATTAATAGCTTCCCTTACCCCATTGTGTCACCCCCTTGTCTGTCAGAAGGGACGTCTTCATCCACTCCGCCGGGAGCCTTTAGGAGGGTTACAAGATTTGTTTTTATATATTTTTTATTTAGGATCCTTTTTCTGCAGGGTAGGATTTTTGTTCTTGGCATCCAGGTTCGTGGCTTCACTTGGTTAGCTAATACGGTTGTCTGCATCCTCACTTCATCTGGCCGTTGCCACTGTAATGCGTGTAGCGACAGAAGGGGGAGCTAGGATGATGAGGGGAGCGAAAGAACCAATAAGCAGACTAGTAATTTTCCGTTTGGTTTGGGACTTTGGGGGGCGCCTTTTTGACCTATTTTTGGAGCCCCTTTTTGGGGCTAAAAAGTCGCCCCTTTTTAATCCCCAAAGCAGTACCAAACCAACGGGAAAATTACCAAAGCAGACCCTCACACCCTAGAAACATCCTTTACGAAAAGGTTGAAAAAACTGTTTTCGTTTTATGGCTCAAGCGACGACGGCGACAGTGGAAGGAACAGCACTTGGAGTGCAAAGAGTGGCAAATCTTAGGCGACGCCATTTTTTCATCCCTAAACTCTATAAATGGCACTTAGGGACACTAAATTTAGCATACCTCACTTCTAGGCAAGCCTAAACATGCATACCTAAACTCCATTAATTCCATTTAGGCACACTAAATTTAGCATACCTCACTTTTAGGCAGGCACTCTTGCCACGATACTCTTGTGGACACTCTCGCGAGACACTGCTGCTCCAGTTGACTGATACATCCATGGTCGGCGTTAAGGCCACAAATTAGTGGTAGGTTATGCCCATAAATTAGTGGCAGGTTACGTCCATAAATTCTTGGCCGGTTATGTCCATAAATTAATGGCAGGTCGCGTCCATAAACTATTGGCAGGTAATTTCCATAGAATAGTGGCAGGTTATGTCCATAAATTAGTGGCAGGCTATGGGACACTCTTGCGGGACAGCAAGAAACTCTTGCCACGACACTCTTGTGGACACTCTTGCAAGACACGGCTGCCCCGCTTGACAGATCCACCCGGGTTCGGCGTGATGCCCATAGATTGGTTGCAGGTTATGTTCATAAATTGGCAGGCTACGTCGGTAAATTACTGGCAGGTAATGTCCATATTCGTGGCAGGTTATGTGCATAAATTAGTGGCAGGTTGTGTCCATAAATTTAGGGCAGATTATGTCCATTAAATAGCAACACTTCTGCTATGATGCTATGACACAGTTTTGGGACACTCTTACAAGACGCTACTACTGGAGATGAGCCCTAAATTGAGCATACCTGACATGCAGGCAGGCACTCTTGCCACGGCACTCTTGTATAAACTCTTTTCCAAATGTTTTCCATGTTGCAACCTTCAAGCTTAAGGTTCAAGAAAATTCGCGCGCAGCGCGGAAAAATTTTTTCTGTAAGTATTCACGCTACGGTACTATAAGCAAAAACAGTGTTTCATGAAACTTTTCTGTAAGCATTCATGCTGCGGTACTATAAGCAAAAACAGTGTTTCATCAAACTTTTCTGTAAGTATTCATGCTGCGGTACTATAAGCAAAAGCACCATTTCATCAATTTTTTTGTAAATATTCACATCTGTTTGCTTTCGGTTTCAAAAAGTTTGCAACAGCGTTACATTTTTTCATGCCTTTGGCACTGTCAGCAACTACCAGTTTGCTTCAAAATGTCTCAATCTGTCCCAATATGTCTCAAAATGTCTCAAATTGTCTCAAAATGTCTCAAAATCAACTCAATTTTTCTCAAAACTCATTTTGAGACATTTTGAGACATTTTGAGACATTTTGAGACATTTTGAGCAATTTTGAGCAATTTTGAGCAATTTTGAGCGGATTTTTGGGGCAGGTATGAGACATTTTGAGACATTTTGAGTTGATTTTGAGCAATTTTGAGCAATTTTGAGCGGATTTTTGGGGCAGGTATGAGACATTTTGAGTTGATTTTGAGCAATTTTGAGCAATTTTGAGCAATTTTGAGCAATTTTGAGCGATTTTGAGCGATTTTGAGCGGAATTTGTTCGGCCAGCAATTTGTATATTTGAATAGTCCTTTCAATCTACATGTCATTCCTGCACAATTGGAATTCACAAATTATGGAGATTGAAGCTAGGTCGTAACGTTTTTGCCCATTTTATTTTAATATTTGTTTTAGTCTAGACGCAATCCTTAGGCCAATTTTGAGCAAACTTTTCTGGCCAGGCCCATTGCGTTTGAATACTTGTTTTGGTCTATAGCAAGCCATTTTCGAGCAATTGAAAAGATTTTGAGCAATTCTACCCACATACCATCCATATTTTATCCATCTATTATTCTTAATTTAGCGTCCATATAACACATTCAATATCGATTTGCGATCAACGTGTTATCCATAAGTTATCCATGTTTTATCCATGTATAGTATCCATTCATTGTCCATTTATTATCCGTTTAATCATTGTTTATCCATTTGTTGTCAATTGTTTATTCATGTATTTGGCATTAATCATGCATTGGATTTAGCTATTATCAATCTATCATCCATTAATTATCCATTTACTACCCATATATCACCACATATTGTCTTGTGCTCGTCCGTTTGTTATCGATGTACTAGCAATTTATTTTCCATGTATTTTCCATTCTGTCATCATTGTTTCATCCATATGCCATACATATATCGTCCAATATTTTTTTTTATTGCTTCCATATATTATCAGTTTCCTTCCATAAAGTTTCACATTTCCGTCCAAATGTCCAAATATTATCCATTGTTCAGCCATTATATCCAGCTATTATCCATTTGGCTTTATGCATTATCCATGTACCATCCATGCTTTATCCATATAATAATACTATCCCTTTTTTACCAATTGTTCATCCATGTGCTATCCATCGGAAATCCCTCCTCCAAGATGTTTAAAGTTGAAAAAAGGCAATGCGAAATCCCTCCTCCAACAAAAGGCCAGCGTCTGGGACCAAAAGCAAGGGCAGCATTTTTCAGTATAGACTCAACATAAGGCCAGTATCTAGGACCAAAAGCAAAGTAGAAAGATAGGTCATACAAAATTCCTTGTCCAATCTGTTTGAAGTAGAAACAGGCAATACGAAATCCATTTAATTTTTTATAAATTGAGTATCCATTTATAATCCGTTCATTTCCTGAGTTTCCATTTATTTCCAGTTTACTCGCCAAATATTTTCCAAATTAAATCAAATATGTAGATATTATCAATTTAGTGTCCACGTATTTTCTTTATATTATCCATTTATCATCCATTCATTTTCCATGTGTTATCAACGTATTTTTTACAACTTATCCGTTTATTATCCATACAGCATCGGAAACGACGTACGGCATGGAAAACAACAAATGCAACAAGACTATGCGCAAAATCCTCCACAAATAAAATAAAGTGCGACGTTGATTATTGAACATGCGTGTATTATTGTAAAAATACATCTACATATATATATATATCTCTCTCTCTCAAATATATATATATATACATTTGTGTATATATGTTCCTTTTGCCCATTGCATGCCTACGCAGAATCACACATGTGTGCCAACATGTGTCAAAAAACGAGCCTTCAAAACAAACCTTACAAAACCACAGTCTCCACTGAAACTTTGTTCCCTTAACTAAAGTTTGTTTCTTGCGCAAACAAACCTCAATTACTGAAGAACAAACCTCAATTAAGGAAACACATCGTAATTAAGGTTTGTAAACATAAATGCTAATTAGTTAGTGCCTTTTTCAAAGGATAGGTATGTGTGCACGTCCACACATATTGACTTTTCAATTTCCAGGTCCACAACCGTATGCATGTATACACTCAAGTGTAAACAGGTATGCCAGTAGATATTCAACAATGTTCACGGTTAGATACTGTTGTAAAAGCACGCTTTTATTATATAAAAAACGTTTCATATCTATGTTCTGCTTGTATATTTCATTTCCTGCGTACACATGGTAGCGTTAAAAAAGCGTTTTTGTTTACACATGTATTTCTGCTTGCGTACATAAGACATATGTGTAAATATTTTTTGGTGCTGGCCAGTGTTGGCAATGTGACTATATGCTGGCGCAGCGATCAAACATCAAACTTTATACATTACCCAACGAATGAAAAATGTTATTCCCTTGAAAATATTCATTTTTTCTACTTTTGAAGTTGCTGACTTGTTCGTGTTCACATGTTAGGTGGCAGCCTCATGACAATTGACCCAAGTGACAAAGGCTATTCACAACGGCAACAATGACAACACCATATTTCATGTCAGTTCAAGCTTTGAACAAAAACCAATGAAAACACACAAACGCAATACCAAATTTCATTTCAAAGGTTCATTTTTTGGTTTTTGGGTTCAAAGTTGTTCAATGTCACGTTTTCAAACCTGTGAAACACGTTGATGTTATCACGATGCTAGCACGAGTCACTTTTGGCTCAAAATAGTTCAAAAAGTACTTTTTGAGATGCCCAAAAATCCCTACAAATTAATCTCCCCACAAGCTGGTCGCCATTCCGAAGTTTGTGATATATATGATATATCTTCCATAAACCTAGCCAAGGTATACGGTATACCTGAAAGCAACCTTATAACTTTTCAGCCAACTTGGCTAACAAACATGGGCACCACCAAACGTTGGGGTCAATGATTGGAAATATATAAATATACATTTGATGTTATATTATATATAGTATGTGTTCCAAAGACTGATTACTTCTGGCGATTGAACCCATCCTTTATATGTTGGGCATTGTGAAAGTCCATTGAATCTGTCGGAATCTGTATCAAGTGCAACTTTTTGTCTCAAACCGGGTCAGGGACGGCCAGTCATCCAGATGTACATCTTATAGAATGGGTGTTTCCGCTCCAAGTTCTTTACTCACGTTTCTTCTAAACTTACTGGTGCGTTTTACGTAGGGAATGCATGGGTTGCTGGGGGTTGCTGGGATGATTATTACTAGTGATGAAATGGATTGAAATGGATTATTCCCGAAAATTCCCTGCGTTTAGCACCAGGAAGTAAATCAATTTGCACGGAATGATCCGACTTGAGCGAGCAAAACTCTAATGGTTCTCTACACTTGTTACATGATCTTTGAGTGCGACGATTAGAACCGCAGTTGCCCAACCTCTGAGGGAGTTCCTTAAGGATCGCTTTTTGGTTGTGGCAAGAATGGCACGTAAATTTTGCTCGGGACCTGTTGGTATGTGAACATCACCTGTGGAGCCGGTGGAATATTTCAGCCAAAAAAAAAATAGCGTTGATTACCCTCTGGTTATGTCAAAATAGCTATTGAACATGGCCAGTTATAGTGGATTTTCCCATTAAAAATGGTGATATTCCATAGTTATGTTAGTTTACCAGAGGGTATTTTCCGTTTGACTTGGTCCGAATTCATATTCCAGAGATGCCTTCAGATTTGATATAACTACACTCCCAGGACTGGATGATGGGACAGAATTGAGGAAAACTCCTGTATTTGTCTGGTAGAAAACAATCTGTTCATATCATTTCTTGCAAACACAACTCCCTTAAACAACCCGAATGGTATGGGTCGCTCCTGGATACCCCCCCGAAAATTCCCATGGGTTTTGATACCAACAAAAGATGACCAAAGTCATGAAATCCATCCACTGAGGATGTACGAATACAACACCACCTTTGTAAGTTACCGGCACCTGCCCAAACCCTTCAAATATGTGGATGAGTGGCTTAACGCGGTCCCCGAAACTTGGATTCGCGGAACCGGGCGGCGTCTGCCTGACCCCTTTTTGGCGATGAGACCTTCGAAATTGGGATTTCAGACAGAGATTTAAATGGATTTAATTTCATTCCCAACATAGTAGAATATATTATACAATATATGGGTATGGGTCAAAATTAGGTACCCCAATAATTGGATGGTTAATACTAAACTAGACTAACATCTTTGGTCCCCTAGGTCTTCATTTTGACCCACATCCATATAATATATATAGGTAATTGAAGTGATTTAAAGGACATCAATTATGAACAGTACTTGATGTTTATATAAGTAACAGGACAGGGATGCAATTGGACACAAGGATATATAAGGCAATTTGGTGTGAAGTTGTGGAAGGCCCCAGAACTGCCATGATCCTGGGTAGTTTACACCCTCCAACCCCAACTGCTGTGGTTTGTTGCTTTTTAACAGGCGAAATTACATCCATGTAATTTCCATATACTGAGTTGTAAAAGGCAATCTTGCTGCAGCAATATTTCATGTGTTGCTCAAGAATAGTTCTTTTCTGATGGTTTCTCACATTGGCTACGCAAGGTTTCAGGAGTGTTGGCTGGAAAAGGGGTGTACCCCAAGTTATGGCGGTCAAATAATAGGAAGGATATATATATATATAATATGGACACAGTATGACACATTACTTTTTCATAAACATATCAGATGTTAATAGATTTTACAATGTTGAAACTTCTAAATCTCATTCGATGTTGAAAATTGTTTCCCAGCATCCAACATGTTTGGAGTGTTCCCAACATGTCCATCAGAGAATGGATTCAAGTCCCCAGGTCCGAGCCATAGCCATACCAAGCAGTGCTCCCCCCACTCCTAAGTTTATGTATTATATTAAGAAAATCATCCAACTAAACCTCAATCATAATTTTATCGCAAGCCCCAAATTAACCTTTATATGTATTATATATACATGTTAAACATTTAGAAACATAGAAACATAGAAACAAAAACACGTTTGCTACAAGATGGTGCCGATAAGTTGGTTTACAGACCCATCCTATAGATATATCTACCTCAAGCCCTAGTTTACCCACTGATTAACCAACTTAGCTAAATCTGGGGCACCATCTTGTAACTACGGGGCATCACATTGTATGAATCACATTTCATGAAATCTTGACCGTCCGACACAACCTCTCAACGGGCTCAACCTGGAAACCTCTCAGCCTTCTGAGGATGAAAATATCACGGGACCCTTCAAGTGCGAATATGGAAGTGAGATTCAGCCGGACATCTGAGAAAAGAAGTCGCGATGTTGCTGGTGCTGATTGTTATAAAGGAAATCTTGGGGAATCCTGATGTGAAAATCGCTAGTTTGGTTGGTTCTTAATTGGGACAATTCGTATATTTGGTGAATTCCCATTAGATTCATGTGTTTATTTGTTGGGTGCAGTGCTTTGCCTTTGTGATTTGTCGAAATCCCTTGCAAGCCGTGTGAAAATGCGGTTGTCCATTCTTATCTCAAATTCTGGCTGCCAATCTCATAGTTCATCATCCACGTCCCCATAAACATCGAGATATTATATCCATTATAGATAATTATAGTATATTTAGCAACATTTACCCAAGACCCAGTTATGTACGGGTAAATATTCCAAACCTGGACATTTTTTGGTCTGTCTGAAAATGGGCTTTCCATAGAAGCCTCTGTTGCCCGTTTTCGGTAACAGACTCAGTATTGTGATATCTCTCAGTTTGAGATAAACTCAGATCATCCATAATATCCACACATGTCAATAACATTTAATAAGAACTGTTAAAACACTATTTTTTAATAACACAGAATCACGGTTGATTTTGAAAACACCATTCCACCATTAAAAAGAAACAAAGAACAGGTCAAATCAACCCACATCGCCTTGGAAAAACCCTCTGGTAAACGTTTACATAACGAACTGGAAAGATCCACCATTTTTCATGGGAAAATCCACTATTTCTATGGTGATTTTCCAGTTCGTTATGTTAGTCATTACCAGAGGGTACCAGGTGAGAAGCTGGAAATGGTGGTTCTCCGTCTTCTTACGCTCTCCGGAGCGATGCGTGGGGAAGCTGCTGAGATTTTTGCGACCATAGGGGGGGCCACGAGATATCAACTGGCCTATACCCGAAATGGCAAACATACAAAAAGCGATGGAACATCACCATGTTTAAGGGGAAAATCAACGAACTAAATGGCAATTTTCAATAGCTATGTTAAATTGCCAGAGGGTAATTATATTATATATATATATATTTAACAGGCATATATTTATATAGTATATATATATATATATTGAATGCCCTGTGCAGCGAAGACCTACTGTGAAAAGGTCTTTGAAGAAAAAACCTAAACGAGAATCATGGGATCTATTTAGGGAATCCTGCTGTAGCAGGGGTTCAAGATGTGCACAGCCAAAAGACATATCATTTTATTCGCTAATTTCACAGATTCTTGAAGAGAAACAATTGAGAATAACAAGATATATATTTTGATGCACAATTGATGCACAGTTTAAGGCCTGACCGTGGACAAAGCGTGGAAAAACCGTGGAACGACTTTTCCAGGGCGTGGAACGACCTATTCAGGGGGTGGAAAAGCCTATCTAGAGCGTGGACAGGGGTACCAGAGTTTTCAACTGAATTCATTTTTTCTGCTGCAAAATTTTGGATTCCCCAAAATAGGTCAACAATATGGGTTTCAATCTGGGTACTTTTGATGGCGCAAGAATTCAAAAACACACAGTTTTAAGGCTATTATATCCTTGGTCCTTATTCATGTCTTTTGTTAAAATCTCAGGTCTTTTGGTAGGGACCTATTGCGAAACTTATGACTTCCAGGGAATGACTATGATATCATCTACAGACATTGGATGATAACTGCAGTCATATGCAGCTTCCATGTTCAATCGTACAATGTGAGGCCCCCAAGATAGCTAAGTTGGTGCACATAACTCCAATAACTATGGTTTATGGTACTTATAACTCACTAGTTACTGGGGCTTATGAACCAACTTATAACTGTGGGGGGCCACATTGTAGCTTCCAGGGTCAAGACAGACCTCAACCAGGAAGTGCTGCCTCGTAGACATCGGGGTCGGGGTCCAGGCTTATCATGTCGTGAGCTGAAATCTCAGTTACATACCCATAGGATCCATGGTGCTGGTATATATGTATGGTATATATATTAGGTAATACTAATGATACAATGACTAGTAATGGTTAACTAATATCAATGGTAATACTAATATTAATCATGAGTAACCATATTAATAATGGGCTGCTATATACCACAATTAATTGTTGATTAGTTAATAATGGTTATTTTTTGTTTATAAATTGTTATAACTAAGCATATTGCCATATGGTTATGACTAACATAGCCATGGAAAATCCCAACAATAAATGGAGGTTTATAGCTGGGAAAATCATCTATTTCAATGGGTCATTTTCCATGGCTATGCTAAATAACCAGAGGGTATATATATATATATATACATAATATAATATATATATATATTTAGCCAATAGAGAGTATCTGTTCAGACCTGAACTTCTTCTGAACTGTTTGTTTGCGAACAGGGTCCTCCACTTCAGAGTTTTTCTTTTATCCATTAGCATTTCGGAGATTACCCTTTTAGGTCCAATGAAAACACGTTCAATGCCTTGACGGCCCTTAACGGCTACGCCACTCGATGCCTGGCTGCAGGACTTCACTTCGGAGATTGAAGACAAGTGGCAAAGGCTGGGAAAAATGGCGTTGTTCCGGACGTTTTTCAGCAACTGTTTGAGTTGGGTTGGGTGGAAAACGACGTGTACTATATATATATATACACATGATTGGGAGTCGGTTGGCCTTAAATGGATGCTGACTTATGAGGCGAAGAACCGGATGTCTTTGTTACGCTGGGTGGCAGAAACCGTATGGCTGTCCATACCAGTAATGACAGCTACTTCCGCAGCTACTTCAGCAACGGAAACACCAGGAAATGTTTGCCGCACTCTACGCAGATCATGTGCCGAAGCATCACTGCAGACTGCATCTTTTGCCGTCTCATTATGAGAAGCATGGCATCGCAGCCTCCTGCTGGGGAGTTGAAAGTGCTCAAAAGCACTACAAATCTTTGTTTGCTGAAGCAACCGTACAATTTTTGTTTTCCGACCAAGGAGGAGCAGAGCTAAGCAAGACTTGCTCCCTTGCCTCCTCTTGCGATGGGTGGAGTTACTAAATGAAAGGCCTATTCTTGCAAATGGCTTTGAGCTGGTATCGAAGGAACACTCATCAGCTCAAAGGCGCGCTTGCAAATGGTGGAGATTAAAGAAAACGATTGCCTTCTCTTCGGCAAAAACCTGCAAGAAGCGTGCTTAATTCACTTTTGTTTGCAAAAGCGCTGCCGCTTGTCTTTCTATATTACAAAGCTGTCCTTAATTAGCCTGCTTCGTACAAAATCTTCAAACAAAGAAACCGAAAAGAAATAGTGGATCACCAGTCCTTGGTGAACTTACAGTAGATGTGCCAGCCTGGACCAGCGCTAAAAGTGATATGGTCATGCGCATGCCGTGATAATTCACCACCTTCCAGCATCAAAATAGTGCGTCAGAGACATGACTCTCAAAACTAACAATAAAACAACGAATCCATGATAAACATACGAAAATAAACCTTGTAAAATTGATCAACGATATAACCGAAGTTATAATCTATATAAACTACCCTGAGATGAGTCAACATAACTTCCACTTAACTTTTCCAACTCCATTTATATTTTTTAAAACTTCAAGTTAACAAACGGGGGCCACAATGCTTGTAGGGATATTTTTGTGCTGGAGGATCACCCCACTTGGTCAAAAAGCATTGTGGCTGATCATGCATAGATCACCCATCTTTAGATGGGTTACACTCTGGTAAACATACGAAAAGCTATTGAAAATGGCCATAGAAATAGTGGATTTACCCATTAACAGCATGGTGATTTTCCATAGTTACGTTAGCTTACCAGAGGGTAATCATGGATTCATCCACGATTTATGGGGGTGTACTATCCTACCACCGGATTTTTATGAATCAGAATGCCTTCCCAATCAGATCCCCAGTATGATTCCATATTCCCATTACATTTGCAATATTCCCTAGAATGTGAGGCCTTCTAGTTATGTGTGTCGCCTAGCTGTATTTGTTGGTTTAGAACCCCCATACACTATATAGTTATATCTGCCAATATTTACCATAAACCCTGGTGAAATACCGTAAACGGGTACCCTACTGATATGTTTCTCAGTCAGTAACCAGTTCCCGGTGACCCAAGTGAATGCCAGGCGGCCCCGGTGCCGGGTACTGCTTGGGGTTTCAAATGTCTACTACTTTTTGGGGCCATACAATTTGAAACCCGCAGCCAGTACAGTAATATAAATATATATATAATTATATATATACATATATATATATATATGTATTACAAAAATATGATCAATATTGCAAAAAAAAAACATGATAATATATCATTTGCTTCTTTCCACCATACAAAAGGATGATTGGTTGAGATGATTTTTTTGGAGTGATCAAAGCCACCAGCCAGACTCAAATGATGATACACAAGCCGCTTGTGTTATCATCTTTAGTAGTTTTTTCACTACATGTGTTTACTCATTATACCATAAAACAAGTAATGATCAATTTCATGGACCATGTTTTAGTAATGGTATTAATGACTATAAATATGATTGATTATATTTATGCTTAGAATCAATAAATATTCAAGATTCATCTTGAAGATTGGGATCTGGTTACCAGGTGTTTGGTCCAAATCTTTGGCTTCAAGGTGGTGCTGAAATCTCCCAGTTCTAAATGGCATCATCCCATGAAAAGTATACTTCGATATATCACCGTCCCAAAAACCAAAATGTGAAATTGGACTTATAAATGGTTTATATTCCCATGAACTTTAGATATATCATTATATATTAACACACATTAACAAACTCATAGTTATACCAGTTATAATCCCATGAAACACCCAAATAACAACCCATGAAGCCAACTTATAAATGGCTTAACTAGTTCGATATATCATCTTTAAACCATAGTGAAATTGGACTTATTTGCACCAACTTAGCGATTCCGAACTGGGGCACCACCCTGTATATATGGCTATGGATCAATACCTATGCCATTTCTTAGGGGAATGAACATCCATTTACCAGCTATTTTGATGTGAACTACAGGGATATAAGGTTTTGACCCACTGCCATCATATTATAGCTACATCTA